GTATGAACACAGCGATTCTAATACTAGCTCTCAAGCAGGGCACACGATCACTTGAGGGTTACATTGAGGAATATTTGGCTTTGACTAATGGCTCAGAATTACCGGACTGCATGTTAATTGACTTTTTCTGTGATGGCCTTAACCAGCCTTTAAAATCAAGAGTGATTCATGAGGGTCCTCGTTTGTCACTAAGTAGTTTTTTGGATCATGTTTTGTGGACTGTTGATTCAGCGTTCACGGTGGGTGTCGTGGAGGAACGCGACACCGCACTCATTACTGTAATGGCAGCCGCACTGGAGCACGCTCACAAAATGACACAGCTGATCTTCATGAATCAAGTCAAGTCACAGCTAATCTTCATGAGCCATGTCAAGTCATAGCTGATCTTCGTGAGCCATGTCAAGTCACAGCTGATCTTCGTGAGCCATGTCAAGTCACAGCTGATCTTCGTGAGCCAAGTCAAGGCACAGCTGATCTTCGTGAGCCAAGTCACAGCTGATCTTCGTGAGCCAAGTCAAATCACAGTTGATCGTCATGAATCAAGTCAAGTTATAGTCACAGCTGATCTTCACGTCCAGTAACGTCTCAACTGACCATCTAGAGTCACGTCACATCACAGCTGGTCATGAAGAATTACGTCACAGCTGGTCATCCAGAGTCACGTCACATCACAGCTGGCCATCCAGAGTCACGTCACAGCTGATCTTCCAAAGTCACGTTACAGCTGATCTTCCAAAGTCACGTCACATCACAACTGATCATCCTGAGTCTCGTCACAACACAGCTGATCGTCAGGAGTCTGGTCATGTCCTGTCTGTTGCACCCATATCTTCAAGGTCAGTCTTTCGGTATCCCAGTCTGGTATCTAGTGTGAGGGATGCACCGCTGGTGTCTGCACGCACAGCTGGTATCCCCAAACCCACTCACTCTAACCCTTCTGTTCCTGAACTAATTCCCCTGTCTGAAGCACTTCCCATGATGGGGATCACTTTATGTTGTGTTTGGGCTGCATACACCACCACAGACCTTCCAGAGGTGGCGATGTCCACTGTGATGTTTCGAGAGGTGGTGGCTGATGCTGCAGAACCTCTTGGGGTAGTGACGCTTGCTGCTGTGTTCTCCGAGGCGATGGCGCCTGCCGCAGCTTCACCACAGGTGGCAGCACATGCTGCAGAACTTTCTGAGGCGGAGGCGGAGGCGGAGCCGTTCGCTTCAGCTCCTTGCACGATGGTGGCGCCCAGCAACGCACTTTCAGCCTGTCATGTCACGGTCGAAGAGACCATTGCTGAACTTTGTACCTGTCCTGTTAAGAATAATGCTAATGAATTCTCCCTGTATCCTGATGGTACTACTGTAGAACCTCTAGAGGTGGCAGCAGCCGCTGCAGACCCTCTGGCGGTGTTAGTGGTACTCACTTATGAACTCTCGTCCTGTTCTGTTTCAGCCAAGGAGGCCATTAATGGAATTTCATCTGCTCATGTCACGGCCTATGAACTATTGTCCTGTCCTGCACTGGTCAAGGAGACCATTTCTGAATTCCCAGTCATGCCTGTCATGGTTACTGAACTCTCGTCCTTTGTCAACCCGGCCGCAGAGGCCGTTGATGAAGAACTCTCTTCTTGTACTGAACCGGCCACGAAGGCCATCTGTGAACAATTGTCCTGTCTCAACCTAGCCGCAGAGGCTGTCTGTGAACTTTCATCCAGCCCTGAATCGGCCACGGAGGCCGCTTATGAACTTTTCTCCTGTCCCAATCCAGCTGAGGAGGCTACCTATTAACTCTCAGTCCTGTATGTCACAACCAAGAATGCAGTCTTCGAATTTCATGCCTGTCCTGTCACGGCCATGGAGGCCGTCTGTGAACTCCCTTCCTGTCCTGTAACAGCTACGGAGGCCATTAGTGAATTCCCTGCCTGCCCTGTTAGGGCTATGGAGGCCAATTATAGACTTTTGTCCTGTCCCTATCCGGCCAGGGAAGCTGTCTCTGAACTGTCAGCCTTGTCTGTCACACCCGAAGACGCTGTCTGTAAACCTCCTGACTGCTCTGTAGCGGCCATAAGGGCAGTTCGGGAACTCTGTCGCAGCTTTCTGTTTGTGCTGTTAACCCTGTCTTTGTCAGAGAGACCACAAGTGAACTATCTGTTTGTCAAGTGTCAATTAATGAGTCTGAGTGTGAGGTGTCAGCCTGTCCAGATCCTATCAAGGAATCTGTTATCTGCCCCATTAGTCCAATCATGAGCCCAGAAAATATAATTGCACTCCAGGTCTGTCCCGTTAACCCTGACATTGCCATAGAGACCATTTATGTACTGTCTACCCATTCAGTTATCACCGGGGAAACCTTTGATAAATGTATGTTCCCTGCCTCGGTCATTGAGCATATCTGCATTGTCTGTATCTCGTGTCTCAGTTTTCCCCAGGTCCCGGTCTCTGCCATGGGTTCCTGATCTGTCTGCTCCGCCCTGGTGGGCTTCTGTTCTGTCTGCTCCGGCCTGGTGGTCTTCTGCTCTGCCCTGGTTGGCTCCAGTCCCGTCTGCTCCACCCTGGTGGGCTTCAGTTCCATCTGCTTCGTCCTGGTGGGCTCCAGTTCCGTCTGCTCCGCCCTAGTGGGCTCCAGTTCCATCTGCTCCATTCTGGTGGACTCCTGCTCTGTCAGCTCCGCCCTGGTGGGTTTCTGCTCTGCCTAGTCCCTGGCCTCTCCACTTCCATGTGAACCTGGCCCTCCGTCCCTCCCTCTGTTCCGCCTCCGCACCACCACCCTCCTGGATTGTATGGTGATAGGAGTGTCTGGAAGCCGCACTGCACAGAACAGATGCCGAGAGAGGTGACACTTCCCCCGGGAAAATCAGACCTCGCGTTTGCAGGACGGCACTGGCAATATCTTCCAACTGAACCATAGTGTCACGAATCTGGTCCATGCACTTCCGTTCGCTCACCACCAGAGATCACCCGCTCACTACTATGGACTCTTGCACCACACTACTGTTGCACTTCACCCAGACTACAGTTCCCATCATTCATTGCACTGATTACACACACACACACAGCTGAATCCAATCAGACATGCTACATAAGCCATGGACTTCCTCTCTCTCAGGGCAGAGTATTGTTTGGCGTGTATCACTGCTATAGCCTTACGGAGCCTGCTTAGTTTTCCTAACCTTATCTTAGTCTTGCCTTGTCTGTTTTCTCGTGTTCTGATCTTTGCCTTGTACATGGATTATCCCTCTAGTCTCGCCCCTGTTGGATTATGTTCGCCGTCGACTGACCCTCTCTTTATTTACTGGACTGCTCTTGTTTTGTCTTCTATATACCTGTTTGCCATTGCCTGATCCTCGCCTGTTTTGACCACGCCCTTAATAAAGCTTGCAAATGGATCCGTACGTCTCACGTCTTGTTTGCCCCGTAACACATAGCTAAGGTTTATCCAAAAAAGTCGCTAGGTTTGTCAGTATGAATATTCTATAGAAAAAAGACGCTAAAAGGGTCTGAAAGTTGCTAAATCTAGTGCTAAAGCCATGCTCGTGTGTGTGAGATGCGGTAGCTGATGGCAGGGGGCGGTGGATATTTGTGGCGGTCAATGTGGATGAGTTCTTCTGTCATCATGTTCTATTAGTTCTACAGCTTCAGTTTCGGAACTTTCACGCTTAGTAACACATACAGCAGTGCAACAGTGAAAAGGGACCCCTCTCAAACAGTGTCGCGTTCCGAACGTTGTTTAAGCGACATACACCTGTATTGCGGTATTTTAAAAATTCATATCATAAAAAAATAAACACTGGTATTCGGTATGAACCGGTATAACGCCCAGCACTATGACCAATGTAAAGTTCATTCACCAAGCATGTTCTCGTCGACTATCGATTAGTCAACTATTAGGGGGCAGCCCTACTGAATGCACTGTTAGGAGCTGCTGTGAGGCATTTCCCCCTCGTCATTCAGGTCCTGTGTCTGCTGAAATAACAAACGGCAGCTTCCATCCTGGGCTTCTAGGTGGACAGAGTAGAGGCAGATATCATCAAGTAAGTCTGCCTCCTCTGCTGACCTCCTTGTGACTTTTGACAAGGCATGTACAAAGGCAAGAGAGGCTTGGGAGGCCCTGCACACCATGGAATCTGCCCAGACTCTGCTCAGCAGTGCTGCTAGAGGATGGTGTTCTCACCTCTCTGAAGAGGGTGTTAAGAAATTGGTGTTCCAAGGGCTCCTTTTGTCACTTGTTTCAGACAATATGCTACGTAGTGCTTGATTACTTTCACATGCTGGTGTGTTTTTGGAAAAATCCTTTCACCTTCCCCCTAAGGTAAGAGTGGCAGTGGTCAGTGGCTGCACAGGACATGTCTCTTGCTCCACTCTGATATCCTAAAAGTATCTTTTTCCGAGTTGAGCTATCTTAGGGTCTAAAGTAGAATTATTCTCCCCTGTAAATTGGTTGCTTAGTAGGCCATTCTAGTATGACTTGGTGCTGCAATAAAAAGGAAAAAAAACTCAAAAACTCACCAAAATTAAAGGTGTTTGTGGGGTGAAAAGAGACTGTACCAAGTGCTTACATCAGGCTCTAAGGCTGGACTGATGATGTGACTGGCATGTTTTACTTATATTTACGGACCACCTTCTGACATGTCCGGCATGGGGCTTGTGGGCAGAGCTGCTGAATTCTGTGTACTAGAAAATTTTGCAAATGCAATTCAAACAGACAGTAAAATATACATATCAACATCATTAGAGGACAAATCTGTTTGCTGTCAGTTTTGACCTCCGTCACATTCAATCCTTCAGCTTCACCTTTCACACTGACCTCTACAATCATCCAGCTTTCACACAGACCACACAAAAATCTTCTCAGCTGGTTTAGTAAGTGTGTCTCACCTCTCCTGCTCACTGCCAGAAATGTGATTCTAGAGATTTTCCTATTTTGTTAATTTGGTTAAAAACAGCACATCTTAAAATTATAAATGTGATCATGGTTTGAAAGTGGAGTGACTATTTTCAGTGTTACTTACCGAACTGATCCGGATTCTTTAACCACAGGTAACAGATTCTGAAGAACTTCGTCTGCTGTATGTTGTTTTCCAACAAACAGTTTTAGATCAAACACATCCATCTTCTCTTCTGACGTCAGCAACACAAAAACCAGAGCTGACCACTGTGAAGAGGAGAGTTTGGTTTCTCTTATTTCTCCAGATTTCAGATAATCCTGGATCTGCTTCATCAGTGAATCATCACCCAGTTCATTCAGACAGTGAAACAGATTGATGGATTTCTCTGGAGAGCGATTTTCTCTGATCTTCTGTTTGATGTACTGCACTGTTTCCTCTTTGTTGTAGGTGCAGCTTCCTGTCTGTGTCAGTAGTTTTCGTAAGAGAGTCTGATTGGACTCCACTGAGAGACCCAGAAGAAAACGCAGGAAAAGGTCCAGATTTCCATTCTTACTCTGTAAAGCCTCATTCACAGCTCTCTGATGCAGTTCAGATAATGAATTATATTTCTTCTGCTTAAAAATCTTGAGCAACAGACTTTGTTTTGTTTGATCAAACACACTGATGTTGTTGATTGTAAAGGAGAAGTGCACATATAGAGCTGCTAGATGTTCCTGGATGCTCAGATGAACAAAGCAGAAGACTTTCCCCTGATACAAGCCCAACTCCTCTCTGAAGATCTGAGTGCACAATCCTGAGTACACTGCTGCTTCTCTCACATCAATGCCACACTCTCTCAGGTCTTCCTCATAGAAGATCAGGTTGCTTTTCACAAGCTGCTGGAAAGCCAGTTTCCCCAGTTTGAGAATCATGTCTTCATCTTTCCCCTTCTTCTCATAGTCCTTCTCATGTTTGATGTTGGTCTGAAGGATCAGGAAGTGTGTGTACATTTGAGTGAGAGTCTTGGTACTTTATTTTCCTCAATGGATATTTCCATTTCTTTTGTTTTGGAAAAAAAGGAATTAAGAAGATCTGAAAGACTGAGTTTTTTGTCCTTCATCAAATTGAGCTCTCTGAAAGGAAGTGGAAATATGAGCTGGACGTCCTGATTCTCTTTCCCTTCAGCCCAGTCCAGGATGAACTTCTGCACAGAGACTGTTTTTCCAATGCCAGCGACTCCCTTTGTCAGCACAGTTCTGATGGCTTTGTCTTGTCCAGGTAAAGCTCTAAAGATGTCATTGCATTTGATGGCTGTGTCCTCTGTTGCTGCTCTCCTGGATTGTGTCTCAATCTGTCTCACCTCATGTTCATTACTGATCTCTCCACTCTCACTCTCTGTGATGTAGAGCTCTGTGTAGATCTCATTCAGCAGTGATGGGTTTCTCTGCATCGCTGTTCCCTCACACAGACACTCAAACTTCTTTATCAGATTTGATTTAAATGTGTTGAGAACTTCATGGCTGTAAAATAAAAAAATAATATTATTACATGAGTGCAATAATAAGCACAATGTCTTATATATTCTGTATCATATCCTTACAAACAAAAACAGACATGCTATACCTGAGACCAGGCCGTGCATCTCCACTCAGACTTATTGATTGATCCATAGATGTGTGTCTTTTCATAGACACACTGCTGGACTCTGGTTCTGATCTCTTTTGCTGCACTGAGCTAAAACAGAGAGAAAATAAAGTTATTTCTTTAAATTACTACACCCAACAAATCAGCTATTGGGGAAAAAAGTAGCACTTTACAGAGCACTTAAAAAACATTTCCTTTATGCCAGGGGTGTCAAACTCACTTTAGGTTGAGGGTCGGATCGAAGAAAATGTCCCCTTATGCAGCCTGAATTACCTTTTGTTAAACCTCAGTTTACAATTAAATTAATATTAATCATACTAACTACAGTATAATTTACAAGAAAACCAGGATTTTTTACATTATTTTTTTAGATGATGTTAGCTAAATTTATGTTTAAAGTGTGCGATTCCAAAATAATTAAATAAATAAAAGATCTCTCTGTATTTTTAGGTAATTTGTTGATAACAATTAGACAGTATTTTACAGTGTGTTTTTGAGCTAGTACCGTGGTTGGTTTAGGCCTGTCATAACCCCCAGGCAGTGGTCTTAATGAGTGATTCATTGACTCACATTAAAAAAGATTAATTCATAAGAGTTTATTCATTTGGAAACAAAACAACTGTCTTTATGATTGGTCCATTTGTTCAAAAACAGATGAATTCTGCAACAAAACACTACAGTGTTGCTCAGAGATGTTCTGGCTTTGTTTAAAACTATTTTTGCTGACAAAACAGAAAAAAACAAAAATATTGGCTCTAAAATATAACTCATTTAATACTGACATCTTGTTTGCTGAACTGTTGTATAAAATCAATTAATTTGCGAGTGCACTGATATTCTGGAAAATGGCACTCTTACAGGACATTTTTGCCTCCATATCATATGTTGAATTATTACAGGTTTCATCCTGCAGTGAAGGCTTTTTTGGGGCTTTTTTTGGTCATTAAAACAACAATCATGATATTATAGCAGACAATAAATATTGCACACCCCTAGCTTGTCCAAAGCTGTCTGGTGTATCTCTTAAGTCTGGTGCATCTCAAATAAATGAGCAATTTGTTCCACTTTAAATTAAAAATAAAATATTGTAGCGAATAAACATTTCATTTTCAAAATAATGTTTTATTTATTTTATATTATTGTTCGAATAATCCATCGGGCTGGATTGGAAAATGTTGTGGACTGTATTCAGCCCACAGGTTTTATGTTTGACACCCCTATGTTTACACAAAAACTGTGTGTGTGTTACATTATCAGATACAGATACAAAAAAAAATACCCACACAAGAAGCACAAAATACATGATCAAATATATACCAAATTACATAGCCGCGGGAACATCTTTTATCTGGGGGGCGGGGCTTGATGTTGCAAGGTGGGGCCATGGTGGGGGATTTTTGACAAAATCCTAATATTAAAGGGGTCTAAATGTCTAAATGATGTTGCTAAAAAGAACATTATTTTGTGTATTTGGTGTAATGAAATGTGTTTATGCGGTTTAAGGTTCAAAAATAATTATTTTCCACATACTGTACATTATTGTTTCTCCTCTATGCCCCGCCTTTCTGAAACGTGTCGATTTTTACAAAGCTCATCGGTCTGAAAAGCGAGGTGTGCTGTGATTGGCCAGCTATCCAGTGCGTTGTGATTGGCCGAATACCTCAAGCGTGTGACGGAAATGTTACGCCCCTCACCATACTGTGATGCCGTGTCCCGGAGCGCTGAGACAAAAACATTAAAACCCATTATAAACGAGGCATTTGTTGCATCCAGGATCAGGAAACAGTAAAATGCACTGCACACATCTGAATATTTGGGTTGAAGTGTTCTGGAACAGTGTTGTAAATATAACTTTACCACTGATTTCTAGTCGTGTCCTCTTTTGGAAGACCAAACAAAGTAGTTTCGCTTTCACAACGAAACACACAACGGGCTAGAGTGAGCGGCAGTCTTGAGAACGGCGTGGCCGGCGGGCTTGCGGCAACCACATGTGACGACACCGGGATGGACTCCGCGTCGTTCACGGTGAAAGCCGATCCAGTGCACTTTGGCAAATTCTCTCATCAGAAACAACAAAGTGCAGATGTACATGCGATGTAAATAACAGATTAATTCATCATACACTGCAGATAACATCACTGATTATAGCTTAGCTTTTTTTAAGAGTGCTTACACTCACGCTAGACTGAATTTAGTGATATTCTTTGATAATGTAAATGTTCTTTGCTCGCTGTATAATTTGTTCATTGTTTGAATAATCGTGGTATTTTTATTAAATGTGATCAGGTTAAACACAAATTCAGTCTTATTAAAATATTTTGTCATAAAAAGGAACTTGCCTAAGACGTTATGATGTGCGTAGTTAATAGATTACATTAGGCTTCAGTGGTTTGAGTGCGTTTGACCAGAGACTAGAGCGCAATTAAAGAGCTGTGCTTATGTGCTTGACGGTGGCCATCTTGAGAAGCGAGAAAGCTTTGAAAAATGGCTCATAAAAAGGATGAGGACGTGAATGGTTTTTACAAGTCAGAATGTAAAATTACGATAATATCGTATGAACATTTCACATGAAATTCTGTCAGTGTGAGGGGGAGATGTAGGGATATGCGCCGTGAGGTGCGCAAGAAAAATACAACCGTACTAGGCTATGTATTTCTGGTCAGTTTAATACATAATTAATCACAAAACTATCACAAAAAAATAAGTATCTTGGTGATGATCGAGGGGCACGAGGAAAATCTCAGACCCGGCCCTGCGGCGGGGGGTGCTTCAGCACCCCTAGTTCCCGCGGCCATGCCATATTATAATAATATTTTTATACAAGTTATATATAACTCAGTTATACCTGAGACCAGGCCGTGTATGTCCACTCTTAAACGTTACTGGCTGAACCATAGACATGTCACTCTTCATAGACACATGGCTGGGCTCTGGATCTGATTTCTTCTGATGAACTGAGCTAAAACATGGAGAGATTAAAGTTATTTCGGTCACACTTTATATTAGGTGGCCTTAACTACTATGTACTTACATTAAAAAAAGTACAATGTACTTATTGTGGTCATATTGTATTGCAAAACAAGTTTGTTGCTATTGAGGTGGTGTCACGAATCCTGTCCATGGTCTTCCAGCCGCTTGCCACCAGAGATCGCTCTTCCGTTACATTGAATGTCACTCTACACAGACTGATACATGTCACTCTGGACTACAGTTCCCTTCATCCATTGCACTGATTACACACACACAGCTGCATCCAATTAGACACGCTTTATAAACCTTGGACTTCCTCTTTCGGATTGCCTAGTATTGTCTTTGTTTATCCCTCAGTCAGTGATAGCAACACTACGGAGCCATTCCGTGTTTTCCCAAGTTCATAGTTTAGCCTTGTTCTTTGCCTGGATTTCTCGTGTTTCTATTATTGCCTGTTTTCCTCATCTCGTCTGATCTCTGCCTGCCCTGGACTCTGTTGTTTGTTTATTTGGATATCCCCTTGCCTTACCCATGCCTGTTATGACCACGTCTCTGTCTAATAAAAGCCTGCAGATGGATCCGCATGTCTCTCGTCTCGTCGGCTCTGTTACAGGTGGGATACGGGTAAGGTTAGGGACAGGTTTGGTGGTATGGGTAGGTTTAAGGGTGGGTTAAGGTGTAAGGGATGGGTCAACAGTATAATTATAAATGTAATTACAGAAATTAATTACAGATGTAACTACTTATAGGTATTTTAAAAAATATAAGTACAATGTAAAAACATGTATGTACACAATAACTGCACTGTATCAAATTATTAATTTAAATGTAAGTACATAGTAGTTAAGGCCACCTGATATAAAGTGGGACCATTCATTCTTTAAATTACTGTATTCAACAAATCAGATAATCATTTATCATTATCAAATTCACTTTAAAGAGCAGTTTATAATAATTTCCTTCATACTGTTTATATAAAAAACTGTCACATTATCAGATACAGATAAAAAACAAAGCACAAGAAAAATTTCCTGTTGAAAATACACAATCAAATAAATACCATATTATAATAATATTTTAATACAAGTTATACATAACTCCGTTGTACCTGAGACCAGGCCATGTATGTCCACTCTTAAACTTTACTGGCTGAACCATAGACGCGTCACTCTTCATCGACACATGGTTGGGCTCTGCTTCTGATCTCCTCTGCTGAACTGAACTAAAACACAACAGATTTAATACTTTATGATGAGAATCATTTTAATATAAGATCTTCATAAAGTATTTTTAAGAAAAGCTCTCGAAGAGGCTTTATGGTCTTGTTTTTAATAAATATTTAACTGGTTATTTAGGGTGTTTACACTTGAAGTTCGGTTCTCCGCGTTCACACATATGCAAATGAACCGCACTAACACAGCAATCACACCAAGATTATTTGTTAAAAGGAATGCCTACAAATGTCTCCTGGATTTCCGATTAGAAGGTGCTGTAACGAAAGTCAACCTAAGGCAAGTTTTGTGTGGAGGTATGCAGGGACCTTTATTTTGAAAGGGTTTTTAAAAAAAAAAAAAAAAAAAAAGAAGAGAACGGAGAGTTCCGGAAAAAAAGAAGGAAGTGAGCGAGACGAGTGCGAGAAAAACGAGAAAAAAGTTAGTTTTTTGTGACGACTTTGATTATATGTGAACAGCATTAGACAAGCATCGAGGTGAGCGGCCGAGAAGCTGGACCAAGCTTCTGCTGTCGTGAGTTTTGACTGAGCCTGATCGCCAAGAAACTGAACTGCGTGTCTGTGATATACCAGGAGGGGCATTGCTCATCGTGCTAGCTGAGACGGTGTGTTGGCCCGAGTGTTTGTCTTCTACGGAAGGGAGCGGAGATACTGTGAGTTTTCTTCACTGCTGTTTAACCACAGTTGATATTCTGAAGAAATACAGACATATGAAAATACGGACGTTTTTTGTTTTTGAAGAAAAGCAGCTTGAATCGAGTGATTGCTACTGTTCGAGGCAAAATCCTCATGTTTCGTTTTTGATACAATAGGGCCGCCGTGTGG